CAGCAACATGTACAACTATGTGGCTGCTGTGAGAAGATTACAAGGAGAGAAAATCCAAAGGAAAATGTAAACTCACAAAAACACCAGTTAAGTGCTGAAAACCTTCCTTCTCATTAGTTTTCTAACTCCCTGCCTTCACATTCCTCTTTGTTATTGAGTGGAATGATTTTTTTTATTTTTTTTATTTTAAATGAGGTGTAAATGCATTTTCACACCTCTACCTAAAACTAGGTTAAGTCTCCAAGCTAATTACACATTATTAATGAGTTCAACAACTGTAGGTAGGCTGGTTAGAGAAGGATGCAGGTCTGCACGTCCTGTGGGTACGCACGCGGACGCATGCTTGCACTCCGTACGGGTCTGATGCTGCAGGATGCTGAGCTCTCTTCTTGTCTGCAATAGTGGAATGTTTAACCCTGAAAATCATAGTCTGCAATGCAATCCTTTTCTTCTATTTCTCTTTTTTCTTTTTAAAGGTCTTTGTGGGGTTTTTTTGGTTTGTGGGGTTTTTTTCTTTGTTTGTTGTTTGTTTTTAAATACTGAAATGCGTAAAAATATTACATTCAGGTTACCACTTTCAGGTCTCTCCCCAGGTCTGCTTCATTACAGTAGCAACTCTAACATTTCTTTCTCTATTCAACAAGCTGCCTGGCCTCGCTGACACAGACTGGGAGGTGACTGTAGAAAGTTTGAGCTGCCCAGAACAAACAATACTTTGGGTTACTCACCAGCGCAGATCATCCTGTTCTGGCAAAGTCTGCTCGGGTGGTTTTAAGTGATCATCTCCCACTGCTGGCATCATTGCCAGAGATGATCCCCTCCCCAGCAGAGCTGGCAGAGGCACATGTAACCACATCTCAGCTCCAAATTAGAGAGGAAAAGCTCACTTGGGACAAAGACCGTGGGCTCTGCTGCCTGCCCTGCTGCCAGACAGCGACAGCTTCGCTCTTCACGAAATAAGTCTCAAAGAGCAAGTTCTAACGTGACAAATTCGAGATAATGCAAATCGCCACCAGTTGCCTTTAACGTGCTGGGCTTGAATTGCAACACTTCAGCTGCCGTTTTAAAGCCAGGGGTGAAAATTGGAACTGTGGCAGCCGTTACAGCAAGGGCTTTGGTGAGACGGAGCTCTTCACTCCGGCTCCTCCAGGCTGGACTTTGCAGGTGAAGCACGTGCATGTGTCACCTTCTAGCATCGACTCTGAAAAGAGATGCCAAAACCAGCGCAGAAATCTCTAAACAACGTAAGATCCAAGGTCTAAGCAACTGCAGCCAGAACAATACAGTCCTAAAAAAATCCACGTTGTGTTCTTAATTCATTCTCTTTAGCAATACAGAGCTTGTAACGACGTCTGTTATGCACTCCTTGACAGGAGACACTGTACACATACATATCATTTAGAGGTCTAAATATAAAAAAAAAGCTTTCAGAGAAGTAAATGTTTGTATAGAAGTAGCACACAAGATTAAAAAACCCCACAAACCCCTTCATCCTAGCTCTAAATTAGATCTGTATCAGCACACGCATACACAAAGCCAATTCAGCCTGACTTTTATAGGAACCGCGCAGCATAAATGAAGAATGGCGTGCTACGGATTTTGCACAGATTCTGATAATTTCTGGTTAAAAGCCTTGTTGTTGAAAGTATTATTCAAGCCTTAAATATGCCACACTGTGGGATGAGTGTGCGCTAAAAAAATTCTTAACAGACCTGTTAATTGAACTTCATGAGTTTCTTTAGAATTTAACTATGTGGAGCCACTTTGATTCTTACGTTTCTAGCTGGCAGGAGAAACAAGCCCTAATTGTGTCAGAGTTTAGCTGCTGAAGAGATCAGTGTTTTATGAGAGATGTAAAAATGGTTCACAGTTACTAAAATAGAAATCTTCGTTTGCTTTTCAAGGAGTGGGGGAAGGAACATTTAAAACTTAGAGTTTAGAAGTGGGCAATTAAGAAATACACCAATAAATTAATCTTCCTAGGATATTTGCTGGCTTGTGGAAAGACAGTAATAAACACATCTGGGAATTTTCCAGCGGAAAGCTCCTGACTTGTAAGTCAGATTTTACTGGATATGGTTTTAATCCTGAAATTACATAACATTTTCTTCCACGTGAACCCTAAAGACATTCTTTTCCTTCTAGATTTTTTTTTTTAAGATGGCCTAAACACATATTCAATAGGACACGGTCTTTTATCAGCTCATGTTTGCCCCTGAAACACCCCCGTAAGGAGAATGATACCACCACGTCCACTCATTCAATCCTTACCGCACAGCGCTGTAACAGGCTTTGGCACTGCAGCAGCAGAATGTATCTGCTTGCAAAGCAGTATCTGGTCAACCAGCATAAAGAACGAGCTTTGCTGCTTTCTGAGCAGGTCTTTTCTTTTTAGCTATCCCAAAGGCAATGCCGACAACCGCTCGCCCAGACGCACGGGTTTCGTACTCACCAGCATCGAGACTGCCCGTCGCCGCAGTCCAGCCCATGACGGGGGGGATGGCACCGACGACAGCTCCCACCCACGTGTTGGCGATGCTCATTCTCTTCATGGGCGTGTAACAACACGTGTACAAGAAGATGTTGAAGGCTCCCAGGGCCCCGGTGAGAGGGTTGACTCCCAGCGTCAGCAGGGCGATGCCTGGGACTCCGCAGGACGCAGCGAAGCAGACGGCGAGCAGAGGGCTGCGGAGAGAGCAGGGGGCAGGCGCTGAACAAGAGACTCTGTCTTAGAGAATTACTGCTGCCCCTCTCCTTCTGCCTCCTCCCAAAAAGTAAGGTTGGATTTTTGTTAATTTTTTTTTTTTTTTACTCCTCCAGCCCAAATTTTCCCATTTGAACCCCCACCCTAAGGCAAGCCCTTCTAAAAAGTTAATCTTGCCACAGATTTGCAACGATAGGTGATTTTTATTCTTGTGATCACAGAGTTCTCCAAATAAATTCAACGTATGCATAAATAGCCCTTACAGAGAAATGGTGTTTCCAGCAGATCCTTCTCTTGCATTTTAATCTTAGTAAATTTCAACCTCTGGAAAAAGCACTTGGTGTTTAGAGTGAATGAGAATCGCTGTAGCTTGTCAGAGTTTTAAATGATCGGAATTATCCAAGAGATCCTTTGACTAAAATGCAACAGGGTTAGACACAAAATTAGGAAGCACTTATGAGACAAAGAACACATTCAATTATTCTGAAACTACGTCAACAGTATTTTTTGGCTTTACTGAAAATAGGCTGAATTTTCTACATTCCCTTTTAGCTTGGGCACTCTACTAAGCACACCACAGCAATTCTGGCAACAGGACCAAAATTAAAACTTATTATCTAAGTGTGACTAGAATTAACTGAAGATATTTTAGGTTTGGGAGAAAGTAGCAAAAAACCAAAATCGCAAATTATTTCTGTTGATTTCTACTGCACTTCAGCAAAGAGCTCGGGGAAGGCTGGAAATTCCTGTTAAAATCTGTAAGAAAGTGGCTGAAGTTACGTAAACTTCTGCTAATCAGTTCCACAATAAACCCCAATAAACATCCAAATACAATGAACAAGAATTTTTTGTTTGGCTACCTGCATTGGGTCTGTGTGGTGCAGGTTTGGTAGCAGGGGGGATGTGATGGACTGACCCCAGGTCCCATTCCCTGTCCCCCTGCGCTGCTGGTGGGGAGGAGGTAGAGAAATCGGGAGTGAAGTTGAGCCTGGGAAGAAGGGAGAGGTGGAGGGAAGGCATTTTTAAGACTGGGATTATTTCTTATTATCCTGCTCTGATTTGATTGGTAACAAATTAAACTGATTTCTTCCCCAAGTTGAGTCTGTTTTGCCTGTGACCATAACTGGTGAGTGATCCCTCCCTGTCCTTGTCTTGACCCATTAGGTTTTACCTTTAGTCCTCCCGATTCTCCTCCCCATCCCACCGGGTAAGGAGTGAGCAAGTGGCTGTGTGGTGCTTCTGCTGGCTGGGCCTAAACCACGACACTATTGAAACACCACTTCTCAGGCAGCACCATGATGCTACCCTAAGGAAGCTCGATTTGTGCTCCCTTGCACCACATCAACATGTTTGCTGCTGGTGGAGATCTCTTCGTGCGTGCGTGTTCGAGGGTGGTTGGTATGATGGAAAGAGAGAACTCAACACCACTAAGAAATAACGTGGTGTGGGAGACCTCTGGAAGGGAGGAAAATGCCATTAACTCAGTTGCATTTAATAACCCATGTGGCTAAATACACACTTCTAGACATCCATATAAGAGCAGCAAATATGTGTGCTTGCAGCAAATGTCTCTGCATGAAGTTTAGCTTTACACCGTTCTGTCTAATTGAAAACTATGCAGCCTTTGTATTCTACGATCACTCTGCCCTCTGGCCAAATCCTTAACCCTAAAATAAGTGTTGTAAGCACTGCTCCAGCTCACATAAGAAAAATTTGCTGTTGGGGATGAATTTTATGGGAGTTTATCAGCAAAAAATCCTACCATTCAAATTTTGATTTTTAAGACCTGTGCTGGAACAATAAGGTATGGAGAGCCTAAATAACTGGAAGAAGTAAAATGAGCAAATCTCACACTAAAGATCTGCCTTCAATTTAAATTAAATTGCCTAAGTCATTTTATCCAGCTTTTCAAAACCGTCAACAGATTTTAGGTTACGGAGTGTGCACAGAGCACATTTACGCTCCGGCATTACCAGCCTTGGTGTTACTAATATATCAGGAATAGAGGCAGGGCACATCATTGCCATCCATTGACAATGAGATATATATAAAATTTGAGACTGTCTCCAGGAGCCATACTGCAAAAGGAGCCATACGGTGCTGTGCCCTCTGGTTTTGCAGTTAGCGGTGCTCTTTTGCAGAAAGGCAGCAAAACACAATCTGTACCGAAAACTCTCTCAACGCCGACTACAAATGCCGTCCTTCCTCGATGTTGCCCCTCTGTTGTGAAAGCCTGACTGGGTTTGGTTAAACAAATCTATCTTGACTGATTCCTCAATAAAATACAGTCAGATGGTAAACACCAGGTTTACACAATACACGCCCTCGGGGTGACAAAAGACCAGCGTGACCCTATGAGGCTGGGCTACCCATATTTGCCTCCGTGGGGCTCGCAGACATAAATGAGGACACAGTTTGACCTAATGCAACAAGCACTATTCTCACTAATCAAGAGTGAAGACTCAACTCCACATCTCCAATTCAAATGAACGCTACACACAGCCATGAGCTGGTCATGGAGCGGCAGATGCCAGCCCTTCATGCCTCTTACGGGAAGGGAAGGCGAAGGCTGGGAGTGCAAAGCCCTCCTCCATGGCTGAACCCAGCATCGCATCTCTCCCATGTCGCGTCCCTGCCGCAGGGAGAGCCCTGACACCAGCTGTGTGCTGCCTTCACACCCAGCTGATGGATCAGAAAGTACTTCTAAAAAATAAGGATTTATCAGAAGGGAAGGGTGAAGCTACCTGACTAAGACGTTCAAAAAAAGTTGTTCTGTTCCTGATGGATGAAACACATTTTTATTTCCCAGTTTCTTTTTGCCTCTTTAAAAGGAACTTCCTGGAGGCAGTTTGATTAGTGTCTGTAATAGTCCAAACCACCTCTGGGGAGGGCATCGGGTCAATGATGGCTGTTCTTCATAAGCAGTTGCAACTATATGAGACATCCTGAAAGTATTGCATGTTTTATCTCTCTCCAGTGTTTCCTTAACAATCAAGGAACTGTAAAATTCTTCTAGAAGAATAATTGCCCGACTTACAAGTGCCTGCCCCTAAAATTCCAACTGCGATCAGAAACTCAAACTGATCTGATGATTCAGCTTTGTTATTTCTGCCCCTTAAAATACTATTTGACATGACAAAGACACTGCAACCAGAAAGTAGGACTTTGCTTTCTTGGTGAGACATAAGGCAGATGAGAATTCAACTCCTTCTCACATACATACGTCATGTTTATAAGGTCTAGGAGAAGTATAAGCAACTCCTTATTGGGAAAGAGAGAATATTTGAGGAAAAGGTTGAGCGATTTCAGTCCCTGGAACAGTTTTTTTCTGCTTCACTGACTCCCAGGATTTTAAGAAGAAAAGACTGACCCTAAGTTTAAATCACAGCAGTTTAAGGAGTATTCTGATTTCTACTAGTTTATGGTCTTCTAGGGACCATTCTGCATCTCAGCAGGTCTTTCAAAACTCAGGCATGTGGTGTCAGGATCATTAATCTGATGCAGGCTCCTTTGCCAGGCTGCCTGTATCTCGCCAAGGGCGCACAGGAGATCAGGACCCCATTCTGGAGCAGGAGAAAGGCTGTGATTGCTGAGCTGTCACTGGATTTGCCCCATCACCTGAAGTCCACACAGTTGCTCCCACTAGAGCCTCATCACCATCCAGCGTGCATCACAGGAGCGTCAGTCTTGGTTATCCCAACGCTGGGGAATTCTCATGTGGTGGTCAAAAGTGGCTGCGGGGTCTCTGCTGGCTTCCTTCATCCTTAAACCAGCCCATGCGGTAAGTGCAGGCTGATGACAGACGCTGGTACATAAGCCTCATTTCACTTGGGCGTTCACTTATGCTAAGGGAATCGCTCCCATGGGAAAAAAAAAGGCAATCTTCCATTGGAAAACTGGCCAAGGAGCTAGCTCAGAAAGCAAACATATTGAGTAAGAAACTAGGTTTTATGATGGATTCTTGGGAGGAGTTGGTTTCAGTTATTTGGCTGATTAAAATCAGACTTTGGAAAAATACTACAAGTGCCAAATGAGTTCTCTTCAAACTTCAACTCTAAAATACCCAGTATGTCACCACATAGGACACCTCCTCAAGGAAAACCAAGAACTGGTAGTTCTGCCTCGTTCCTCTTCTCTCATTTATTGAGAATGCCTATGTCAAAGTCTGCCCAGTAATACTGCTAAAAGACATCCACATTCAACTAAAAGCTTTTCAGAGAACTTCAGCCTGAACAGTGATTAATCAAACCTTTCCTGGTCCAAAGAAAACCTGCTGATGCTTTTCTCCTGTAGAGTTCACCCAAGACGGACCCTTCCCAGTCACACGCCACTGGGAGCACCCAAGAGGAGCAGGAGGAGGAAAAGACACCCAAGGCTTCTCCTTATTCAACTCAAAGCTTTTGCTGACACAGAGGTGTCAGGAGAGATGCTGTGGGTCAGGCTGGGGAGGATTGCTCAAGGACAGCCCAGAGCTGCTGGGGGAACCGGGAGCAGGCAGGAGGAATCCCATATGGGTGATTTTCAGGCATCCCCTGCACACACGACCACAAGGCATCCACGTGGACCCTCACTCATCATATTGTTCACAGGAACTCTGGACAGCACAGCAGCCTACTTTAATTCATGTGCAATAGCATCATCTCCGAATGGAGTTGCCACTTACAGATGGGCTGGTTATATGTACAGAATGATCTTACACACATGTGCATGAAATGAATTTATTTAATAGGCTCCAGAGTCATGGATAATAGTACTTATTGACTCACAGCCTTACTTGGAAAAATTGAGAGGGGAAACCAAACTAAAGCATTTGCCCATCTATAAAATTAATGTACTATTTTACCTATTTCACAGCAGCATTAGCAAGCTTAATGTCTATAAAGATCAACAGCATCATTGCTACACATGCCTTCATATGCTGTTGTTGGTTCTTTGGCAAAACATTTTGTGAAGAAGACTGTCAAAGTTCAGTTTGAACTAC